CTCAGGCTAGCTGTACTTAAATTTAAATACGGCTAGCCACTTCGTAGAAATTATGATGGCCGAATTGTTGAACAAAAGAAATGAGTTGAAGTCTATGGTGGAGATTTATCAGCCAGATATAATTGCTGTAACGGGAGTAAAACCCAAATATGTAAGGTTTAAAATTCAAGAGTGAGTTATCTTTGAATGGCTATGACTATGAATTATTTCACAACCTGGAAGAAGAAGGTCGAGGACTAGTGTTGCATGTGAGAAAAGCACTGAAACCAGGGTTGTGTGATGACTTGGACAATGACTTTTGTGAAAAACCTAAATGTGTTCTTAAGGATGGTGCTTCATTACTCATTGGACTGATTTATCTAAGTCAACACAGCCCTACAGCTGAAGAGGGTGCACGGAAGCTGAACAAGCTCTTTGAACTGGTGTCACTGAGAAAAGAGACTCACAAAATCATAATGGGTGACTTTAATTTCAGACAAATTGATTGGGAAACTGAAACTTGCAACGCTGGTGAAAAACACATTGCTACTAAATTCCTCAAGGCTACAAAAGACGCATTCTTCATACAGCACCAAAAGACTCCCACAAGATATATAGAAAAGGTGAGACTCCTAACATTCTAGATCTAGTCTTTACAAATACTGAACAGCTGGTTACAGACATCAAAGTCGAAGCTGGTATAGGTAAAAGTGATCATCTTTGTCTGCTTATGACTCTGTCATTATCAGCAGGTACCGCACCCAAAGAAACTAGGAGAAACTTTAGAAAAACAGATGTTGAGAAACTGAGGGAGGACCTTGGAGCATATGACTGGGAGAGTGAGCTTGCTAACAAGAACGTTGAAGACACTTGGTCTGACATCAAGAGCAAAATTGAGGGTGCCATTGGGACTTCAACACCGCTGATGAATATTTCAGGGAGGAAAAATAAAAGATACATGGATAAAGACACATTAGAGGCTGTGAGGAAGAAACATCGTGCTTACAGAAAATGGCATAGGACGGGAAAGAGTCCGAAAGACAACGGATGAAATAGCATACAATAAGGCCAACAACAAGGCTAGGAGAGCATGTCGAAAGTCAAACAGGAATTATGAAAAGAAATTGGCTATTGAGGCAAAGAAGAACCCCAAGGTATTTTACAGTTACGCCAACTCAAAGATTAAGAGTAAGACCGGTATCGCAGACCTAAACAAGGACGATGGGACAAAGACAAAGTCAGATACAGAGAAAGCAGAACTGCTAAATAAATTCTTTCAGAGTATTTTTACGAACGAGGACACAGGACCACTCCCAGACTTTGAAGAGAATGACTACAACACAGAACTTCAAGACTTCAATATTGAAACGGTGACAGTAAAAGAACTTTAGGTTAGTCTTGATGTCAACAAGGCAATGGGACCATGGCATCCCTCCCAGAGTATTACCCCAGGCAGCTGACATACTTACACTACCTCTAAGAATTCTCTTTAGGAGGACACTACATGATGGAGTACTACCAGTGGAATGGAAAACGGCATTCGTGTCACCAATATTCAAGAAAGGTACAACAAGGCCGCAGTTAACAATTATCGACCTGAGAGCCTAACAAGTGTCATCTGCAAAGTTATGGAAAAGCTCGTAAGAGAGCACATCATGGACCATATTGTCAGCAACATGCTGATTTCTAAAGACCAACACGGATTCGTCACTGGACGTTCATGTATAACAAAATTATTGGAAACTTTAGATGACTGGACGAGTGTTATGGATGAAGCAGGGTCAGTGGATGTCATTTATATGGATTATCAGAAAGCCTTTGACTCCGTTCCCCATAGGCGACTTATACAGAAGTAAGCTCTCAGCATGTGGTGTTAAAGGGGTACTCAAGTGGGTTAGGGACTTCTTGACCAGCAGAAAACAACGGGTCGTTATAAATGGATCATGGTCGGAGGAAGCTGAAGTTACAAGTGGAATCCCGCAAGGATCAGTTCAAGGCCCCCTTTTGTTTGTAATTTACATCAACGATCTTCCCAGAGGACTTAAAGCCACGGTCAAAATGTTCGCTGATGACACAAAGCTCTACGTTAGAAGTGACAACGTGAATGGACCGCAAGATTTACAGGATGATTTGGATACCCTCCAAGAATGGTCTCAATGATGGTTACTTCATTTTCACCCGCAAAAGTGTTGTGTCCCAAAAGTTGGCAAAGACAATAATAACAAATACTTTATGGACCAAGCAGTGGATGGTAGCACCTCAAGACACAAACTGAATGTAACAAAGAGAGAGAAGAAAGACTTGGGAGTTGTGGTTGATAATAAACTAACCTTCAAGGAGCACATAGCCCAGATGACATCAAAAGCGAACCGTATTGTTGGACTTATTAGGCGATCATTTGACTATCTTTCAGAGGATATATGTTTGTTTTGCTCTACAAGAGTTTAGTGAGGCCTTTATTAGAGTACACTGTGTTTGGCAACCCTTTGAAAAAGGACTATATGTAGGGTAATCGAACAAGTTCAAAGGCGGGCTACCAAAATCCTGAGTCACCTCAAAGAAAAGCCTTATTCTGAAAGACTGAAAAAACTAAAGCTTCCATCCCTGGAACATAGTAGGTTACGTGGTGATATGATAGAAACGTAAGTATATCAAAGGCTACTACATCACTGAAAGACCAGCGTTTACAAAGGCAACAACCACACAACTCCGGGGCAACTCAGAGAAGCTCCAGAAGCAAAGAAGCAGATTGTGTATGAGGGCAAACTTTCTTGAGAATAGGGTTAAAGTTAATACTATTCGGAACAATCTTGCCGAATCAGTACTGTCAGTGGTGTCAGCTCCAAACGTGGACACATTTAAGAGGTCAGACGTCTGGACGAATACTGGAAAGATCTCCCAACTATTTACAACCCCACCTGCCAAAACTGATTTGTCTAGCCTGCACGCAATGCATTATTGTCGTTCATTACCAGATAGTTGAACAGGCTCTACATAGAGCCTCAAACAACTAAATCGTCAATGTCAATGAATGGAGAGCGTGTCTGCATTTGAAATCTTACATTATTTTATGAGCATGGGATCTAATCCCGACCTCGCAATGTTGTTTTTTTGTGTTTTTTTCACGCCTCCCTTCTTCTTCGGTAAATTTTTACTTTCACTCCCGCTGTGTGCACTGTTTCAGGGGTTAAACTGCAGTACTGTTTGCTGCAGATCACACATGAAGCCACTAAAACTGTCGCAAATAAATTATTTTCAAGACAATTTCAAATCTAACTGTAAAATATCAAATTATGGGTAAAATAAAAACAGGGGAGCATGCCCCCCTGTAACCCCCCAGATTTTCTTTTACCCCACTGGGGCAGGCCCCTTTGGAACCCCCCGATTGGTCCAAAGCATGTTTATCTCGGTTAAAAACAATCAAATATTTCAAAACGAAGTGTATACAGACCCGGTAACCGGGAACAAAGTCACAAAGTATGGCCACCTCTATTCTCACCCGGAGTGAGAATAGTGCAGGCGAGTCTTGTGGCTATTCTCACCCGGTGCGCGTTCACCAAATTTTGCGTTCACCCTAAACCACAGAATTCTACACTGTGATAACAGAAAAATTGTAGAATTCTGTGCCGTGAACAAACGTTCCATTACAATTGTAGCCTACTAAAAGCGTACAATTTTGTCTGTGGGCAGTGGAGAGAGAGAGAGAAAGAGAGAGAAAGAGAGAGAGGAGTAGCGCGAGAATTTCCGGGCAAAACAAAATGGCGACCCGCGTAGTTCGGCTCGAATCGAAAAGTTAAATAGCCGTAGCATCTTTGTAGACAACCAAATTTATTTACTTTTGTGTTTTAACATCATTTTTTCACTTTGTTTTGGTCAATTTGATCGTCCACACCGATAGACAGTATTCAGAAAGAGACAGAGAGAGAGAGAAGAGGGGAGGAGTTGATCTTGCGAGAACTTCCGGGCGGGTGAGAATAGCCACTTTCACAAAGTATACAGACCCGGTAGGGGAACTCTTTTGTGATTTCGGAAAGTTTCAGTGCCCAAACCCGGTAGTGTGTGTGTGTGTGTGTGTGTGTGTGTGTGTGTGTGTGTGTGTGTGTGTGTGTGTGTGTGAGTTAGAGAGAGAGAGAGAGAGAAGAGAGAGAGAGAGAGAGAGAGAGAGAGGGGGGAGAGAGAGAGAGCAGGGGGAAGTGCTAGCAAAATGTATGACATGCCCGGCCAGTTGGCAGGAGGGAACGAGAGAAAGACAGAGTGGGAAATAGGTGGGGAGAAAGAAATACAGAGACAAACAAAGATAAAGAGAATGTGAGCGATACACAGAGAGAGAGAGGAGAGAGAGAGAGAGAGAGAGAGAGAGAGAGAGAGAGAGAGAAATAGAGAGGGTGACTGCTTTTGATTGAAATTATGACATGTTGTTCTTTTCTTCAAATTTTGATTCCTCCAACTCATAAACGATCGTTCATCGAAAAGACATCCGCAATCTTCATTTAGATTTAGATCTAGAATCTAGATATATCTAGATCTAGGCTAGCCCCGAAACTAGATCAATGATTTATATAAATATCTGTCTGTCTAGATCTAGACCTAGGCCATAGATCTAGAAGAACCTAGATATCTAGTCCTACCCTGAGCCAAGAGGCTTTAGAGGGTGCTGAAACTTTCCGAAATCACAAAAGAGTTCTCCTACCGGGTCTGTATACTTTGTGACTTTATTCCCGGTTACCGGGTCTGTATACACTCCCATTTCAAAAACTATTATTTGCAACGGAAATGAAGTTGATATTCGTGTTCAGCGCATCAATATTTAAATCTAGATCTAGAGTAGAAAATAGACAACTGGTAGCTGAGTGTGAGACGGGAGGGAAAGTAAAAAAATACCTCTTCTTCTCCTCCCGACGGGCTGCAGAGAGAGATAGCTGCAAGTCTACAGTCTACAGTACTGTACATGCGAGTGTAAAAGAATTCTAATTCTAAAGAGACAAAGAAAGCTACAACTAGGCTATACACAGAAGGCTTACTTTACGGTAACAATTTCAGATGCCTTGCTGACAGCTTCAGGGTCCTGGTTCAGATTTGTTTATCATTTGTTATCGTTTCATTAAAAACGCATGGTGCAGATTTTGTACCTTTCTGTGAGGAAGATCCGGCCAGAAAGTAAAAATGTTTAGAAATTATTTCGTAATATCATAGTCTCGATGCTTCAATATTTATTTAAATCTAAACTGTTATTTATTGTCGCAAATTTAGCTGTCTGTCAACTATTATATTATCTAATTATTTAAAATCCCAGGTTTTTAGTATTCAACGGTCAGTTCGTCCAGGAAAAAAACTTTTTTCAGATCTAAAAATCCAATACTAGTTTTTAGATCTAATAGAGTAAGCACAAAGTACTCGGTAATATCAGAATTACAGCGAGAAATCGCTACTTCCAACCAAGGTCGTCAACAAACTGCTGTCGCCGGCGAATAAAACCTTCGGTTTCCTTCTGTTTTTTCTCGTACCGAACAGAAATATGGGTGGAGGCGGTGGCGGTGCCCCTCATGAAATTCCAGACTGGAGAATATATAAGGCTGAAGGAATCCCAGAACTGGATCGCCTTCAGAAGAGGCTTGGTGCGCTTGGTCTGAAAGATCCCTGGATCAGGTAAGATTGTTGTTGTGAAACAAAAACTCATCAGACCTGCCACTTTTGATTTTTGGTTTATCAGGTCAGGTTTTGGTCCAAACAACGGAAGGACTTCCGTAACGAGCGACCACCCCATCAAACACAATAAAGAAGAGGCCTTACCCTAACCCAAACCCTAACCCTACCCCTCCTAGATTCCTAAATCTGGCCACCTCTATTCTCACCCGGGGTGAGAAGTGCAGGCGAGTCTTTTGGCTATTCTCACCCGATGCGCGTTCACCGTTATAGCCTAGATCTAGGCCAACAAATTTTGCGTTCACCCTAAACCACAAAATTCTACACTGTGATAACAGAAAAATTGTAGAATTCTGTGCCGTGAACAAACGTTCCATTACAACTCAACTGTAGCCTACTAAATAAAAGTGTACAATTTTGTCTGTGGGCAGTGGAAAGAGAGAGAGAGAGAGGAGTAGCGCAAGAACTTCCGGTCAAAACAAAATGGCGACCCGCGTAGTTCGGCTCGATTCGAAAAGTTAAATAGCCGTGGCATCTTTGTAGACAACCAAATTAATTTACTTTTGTGTGTTAACATCATTTTTTCACTTTGTTTTGGTCAATTTGATCGTCCACACCGATAGACAGTATTCAGAAAGAGACAAAGAGAGAGAGGGGAGGAGTAGATCTTGCGAGAACTTCCGGGCAAAACAAAATGGCGACCCGCGTAGTTCGGCTCGATTCGAACAGTGAAATAGCCATAGCATCTTTGAAGACGATCAAATTATCTTACTTTTGTGGTATAACGTAATTTTTTCTTGGCTTTTATCAATTTGTTCATCCACACCGATAGACAGAACTTAAATGCAGCTAGACTCGCAGTCTAGCCGTACTTATTCTTAATATGATGGCTAGACTGACCATTTACAAAAAATAGGCCTACTTGAATTGTAAATATATACATTTTTAGTGTACAGTACCTAAAGTATTTGTATTTGAGACAAAACCAGGTGCCTTAATGACAGTGCATGTATTTTAAACCTCCTGTTTTCTAATGTTAATAGGGCCTAAGATAAGTACGGCTAGACTGTCAGGCTAGCCGTACTTAATATTTATGGCTGAATTGTAAATGAAATTCTTAGTTTGCAATGCCTAAAGTATTTGTATTTCAGACAAAATCAAAGGTGCCTTACTGACTTGCATGTATTTGAACCTGAATAATTACTAGATCTAGATCTAATGAGACCTGTGTACCTAACAGGCTTGAGTCGATAGGGCCAAACCTAGATCTAAGTAGCTAGACTGGCAGTCCAGCCGTACTTAAAGTACTTAAGTACGGCTAGTCACTTCGATTCCAAAATGAGGAAAAGCAGGTCTTGTTTCGCACCGGGTGAGAATAGCCTACGCTGGCAAGTCTCACCCGGGGTGAGAGGTAGATCGTTTTTCTATTCTCACCCCGGATGAGAATAGCCACTTCCCCTAGATCTACCCAACCCCTACTCCTAGTGAGGCCTAGCCCTCAATTCTGCTCTGTCTCATAGTGGTCGCTCGTTACGGAAGTCCTCCACTAACAACGATTACCAGAGATCCTGATTCTAGATAAGAAGGACATCTATAATGAGCGACCACCCAAACAAACACAATAAAGACCTCGGTACTAGATCTAGATCTAGATTCTAAATTAGATCTACTTAAAACTCTTGTCCTGCGTCTGTGCTGAGATGTGAATCTTATCAGCAACCGATTACGTCGCACATTCCGGGCTGGCCGCCGTGGTCACTCAATGTGTACTGTTGGTGTACTGTGTGCGTGCCTAGAAACATGTTTTTTCGCCTTGAAAAGTGTGTTGATCGATGATGAAAATTTAATTATAACGCTCAAGTCTTTCATAGCTTTCTATTTATAAAGTGTTGCAAACACACAAAAAACCTCCTCTCATAAGCACAAGACATTACGAGTAGCTACACCCATTCAAATAATAACTTTTCTAGATGCTCTTGTTGTTATGAACCTTGGGTTCGAAATGGGATTATATAAAGGCCGGCACTATTTCTCCGAACGTTCAGGAAAATAAATCTGGGCACTATTTCTCCAAACACTCTGAAATCACACCGTTTCCCGCAAATTTCGGATATCATATAGAGTATAGGCCTATCAAAGATTGTTTGTATACAATATGGTTCAATCGGTCCAAAAAAATGTCTGCAGTAAATATTTATATAAAGAAATGCTACAGTTCCAAACAGTTTTTCGCTACAGATATGACGTGTTGCTTATGAAGGGTGCTGCTCTTAAACTTAATGTGTTGTGTTCACTCGTGTGCTGTCTAGATCTAGATCTACGGAGGGTTATTGATAACGACACATAGAACTAGCTTCTGCGTTTGTCGCGGCCTCGACCAATCAATCGTGGCTCGATTCTTTGGCATTTTTTGGTCGGGGAATAAAAGTCAAATTTAAAAAAAGAAAGAAACCGAACCTCTTTACTTTTGAAAGAAAGTTCACTTAGCTTCACTTAGTCTCTTTCTCACTTGTTGTCACCACGTTGATTTATTGAATAAGTTACAGTTACTTTTATTTTTCCCTCTTTGACTCATTGTGGTGTTTTATTTTGTTAGTGTGTAATTTTTTTTCTTGTTATTGTTCTGATGTGTTGTTTTTCTATCAATTTTTTTTGTTGGGGAAAAAAGGGGGGGGGTGTTGCATAGTGTAACGTCATTTAATTTGATGTTCCTACCTTCATTAGATTCTAAATATATATACATGTATATATATATATTATAGATTTAAATGTGTTATGTTAGAGCGTACGTTCCACCAAAACCGATTACATGGGCTGACACTGGCAGGCCCCTTAATGTGTGTGATTCCATAATTTACATGTAATATCCTGTACTCTAAAAAAAAATTTACACACATTTATGGTTAAAACAGCCAATCTTCTTCGGACAGGTGGACACACGCCCTTATTTGTTAATTTTTGTGGTTGTTTATGGGCTGTTCTAATTTTGATTTTATCCTGTTGTGAAACCTCTCTTTTTCACGTTTTTACACTCATCTAAAAATCTCTAGACTAGCTCTTGAAAATTGAAATAGATATATAGACCCCAAAATTTGCTCCTGTGTGTGTGTGTGTGTGTGTGTGCATGTGTGTGTGTGTATGCATGTGCGTGTGTGAGTGTGAGTGTGTCTGTGTGTGGTAGTAAGTGTGTAAGTGGAGAGTGAGGAGTGTGTGTGTGTGTTTGTTTTTCGGGCTTTATTTCAACCTTTATTCAGTAACATGACAGTTCAAAGTATACAAAAATAGAAACACAGGATCCAATAACTCCAGGGCTCATGAGTCGTTCCTCTCTTTCAGTTTCACTCATCCATTCAATTCCCATGTTCTCTCCCGCGGCTCATCCCTGTCCGCAAGACACTTTCACACCCCACTCCCTCCCTCCAGGCACATACAAAGAAAATCTCACTCATTCCCTTGCACCCTGCGAACCATGGACAATAATATAGGCAAAACACTGCCTTAGCCACATTCCTTTCGTTCGTGAGCTGGGACCAGACCGGGGGGGTCGGTGTCGTCGTCTTGTAGTTGCTGTTGCCTGTGGATACACTCGTACATTCTTCCTTTCACCCGCTCTTTCACTCACACTGTCTCTCCATCCACAGCTCAGCTCGTCATATGTTCAAAAGTTGCCCACTGATCACGTTTAGTTAGTGTGTGTATAAGTTTGTGTGTGTACATGTGCATGATGGTGGTGGGTGTGCGGTGGGTGTTACTGAAGGGTGTATGTAGGCGGGCTTGCCATGCGGTGTTCCTTCCCAGACCAGAGGGGCAGAATGAAAGTTGGCGCCGAACTCTCGCAATAAATAGGAAAAAAATCACGAGACCGGAAGCCGGAAACCGTTCGGAGAAATAAAGATCGGCACTATTTCTCCGAACATTCGGAGAAATAGTCACTTCGTTATATAAAAGGTCAATTTCCGAATGTTTTTCACTCAAATTGCTCTTTGTGCCTGCACAATGGTATTCAAAATTATCAAACAAGTTATTTTTTATCAAGTAAATTCTAATATCTTTTCATACAAAATCAAGCTCATTTGAAAGATTTTGTTTAGAAAAATGGAAGTCTTGTTTCCTGACTACCCTTTCAAGCTCCTGATGTCTAAGTGGGTCAATTTGTTTGATATAATTTCATCAAATTGGACAAACATCTAGAGCTACCAACTTGGCGTGTTTTGAATGGGACGTATGCCTGGGTTACAATCCAATGCAGGCGGTTCTAGAAGAAGGCCACAAACGCACAGACTGGTGCACACACCCTTGAGCTGCATGAATGTGGATCCGACGCAGGACTCCAATTGAACAGGAGATGATGCTCGGCGTGTGTGCGCTGAGCCAGGGGCCAGATTGACACGGGACCAAAACGCAGGCGAGGTGCAAAAATAGGCTTATCAGGCGATATAAACCCAGCCCCGGCAGGACGAGGATTAAAGATCCCATGTTGTGATACAATGATGCTCTCATCATGACCTCCCCTTTTTCGCAAAATCCAAATATGTACGCCAAAATATTAATTATAAAAATATAACTACGAAATGGTTAGTAAATCTTACTGCAGAAATGATTGCTCCACCCAAAAACACATAAATTTTGGTTAGCCAAGTTTCTAACACTCCAATTAATTACTGAGATATCGTTGATTTTCTTATACAGCAGCTGCTGTTAAGTTTCAAAACGATTACTTTACGATGCGCATTCCAATTTTTTGACGTGTGGTGAGCGAAATAAATGATCAAATCTAGATCTATTTGTTAGGCGCTTTGTATCGATTTGCAGGATCGGTTGATCGTGCAACGCCACATTTTGTGGATCCAGGGAATGCGCAACAATCCATCAATTGTTGCGCGTTCTGTAGATCCACAAAATGCGTTATTTAGTCTTACAAAATGTGACAATAACTTCCACTTAATGCAATGTCAACAATAGAGATATATGGACGTTCATCTGATGTTAACACCTTTAATTTCATAGCAGAAAAACGAAACACTCGACACTCGAGTAAGATCTAAGATCTGTTGCGCATTCAACGGATCCACAAAAAGCGCTGCGTGATCCACCGATCTAATACAGAATGTGCAACAATCAATGGATTGTTGCACATTCTTCTATGGTTTCACAAAATGCATTGCACGGTCCACCAATCTAGCAAATCAGCAGAACGCGCCAAACGTATGCAAAACATCAAATTATGGTTAAAAAGAGGGGCATGCCCCTGAAACCCCCCGTATTTTGATAAGGCCAAATTAAAGGAAATTGAATGAGGAATACGTTCAGACATACAAGGATTGATTTTTAACCCTAGTGTGCATGCAACTGTTAGAATGGGTGATGGTGATGATGATGAGAATAATAAATTTTGAAGGGGAAAAAAATACACTCACCAAACATGTGAAAGCAAATCAGCTTTGCTATCTAATCAAACACAGCCAGGAGCATAAAATCCCCACATTTTCAAATGCACTACTTTTTATTTGAAATTATAAAATTTTTGTTTTATTAAATTATATTTCTACTTAAAGGCCAGTTACATCGTTTGGTTGATGCAAGAATGACTTCCCTCATTTATCGCCAAACTGACTCTTTGACAAAGTGAAACTTGATGTTTTCATTTCCTAAATCATTTGCAAGTTTTCTGGTAGCAATAAGAAGTCCTGGCCTTATAAATGACACATCATGTCAAAAGCAAACAACACTAAGGCATCCTATCATTGCCGATATATCGGCGATACATCCGCAATGTTTGCAGACTTGCGCCAATATATCAGCTGTACGTCCGGGAAGGGTTAAGTCCAAGTTTTGATCATTTTTTATTTTTACACCCTCTCAAAGCTGTATCATAGAGGCACCATTCAATATTACCAAAGTGCTGTTTATTGCTATGGTCAAGACTTACAATTTTCTTTCTTTTCATGATTTTTGACAGAAATAGCACAACAAAAACTAGAGGGGGGGGGGGGGGGGGTTGTGGGGTTTTTTTACATAAAAAGTACCTAAATGGACAAGTGCATTGCCGACGATTTACAGTCAAATCTCGTTATACCGCCTACCTCGGGACGGGCATGAAGTTGGCAGTACAACGGGGCTGACGGTAGGAGTTTTACATGCCCTCTGTTAAATATAGTTGAACTCGGATTCAACTAAATGAGTGGATTCCCCGATTTTTTTATTCATAAGGATCAATAAAAAGTAACTCAGGTTCAACGAAAGCGTAAATGAGCAAGCTCGGATTCAATTAAGTCGCCTGCAGGGTGAACTGCTCTCTGCGACCAATCAGTGGCCTCCTTTCATACCACACAGGCTACTGATCAATATTACAATGATAAGCTAAATTTGACAAAGGTGCATGTAATGAATTGCGCCCTGGACTGTGGATTCAAACGTTGCCATATGTTAGGCTGTACGCAGCAACATAACTTGTTTGGCAAACAATACGTTATAAATGATTGCTGACACAGGCGTGTATTTGAACTAATCACCCCCTATTGCAGTTTTTGCTTGGTAGAGCAGTGTATTTTCCTGGAATTTTTCAGCAATTCTTTGGTATCGCTTTTACTTTTTACTTTTTTCTTCCGCTTGTACCCTGGGGTGTCGCGGGGAGACATGGGCGTCTGTCTGCAGCAAGTTGTGTGGCCTGTAGGAGGGACATCCCGTGAGCTCTAAGGGTGTCTGCCACAGATTCACTCCATCATCGCCTTGGTCTTCCTCTGGCTCTCCATCCAGAATATTTAGTGTTGTATGCTCTCAGAGATGGATGGTTTGAGGGCATCTGCGTGAGGTGTCCGAACCACTTGACCTTTTGTTTTTCAATGTGTGGTTGGACTGGTGTTGCTCCCACGGTGTCCCAAATGACTTCATTTTTAATTTTGTCTCTTCTTGTTTTGTTGACCGCTCTTCTTAAGCATTTCATCTCGCATGTGACCAGTTTCCTCTCTAGGGCTTTTGTTAGGGACCATGTCTGGCACTGATATGTGATCGTTGGAAGGAAAATGGCGTTGATGAGCTTCGCCTTGGTGCTCATGGGGATATTGGGATGTTTCAGGAGAGGGCCGAGTTGGTAGCTGACTGCGTTGGCTCTCTGGCATCTAGTCTGTATTTCTCAATCTAATTTTCCATTTCCTGTGAAAACGCTGCCCAAGTATTTGAATTCTCTGCTTCGTTTTAGTTGGGATCCATTGATGTTGATTTCCACTTTGCCTGGTCTCCTGCTAATTGTCATGACTTCGGTCTTGCTAATACTGATCTTCATGTCATATTTTTCGCAGCTCGCATATGTTCATATGCTCCTGTAGCTGGGTCTTCTTGTTAATCATTGCCAGGTCGTCTGCAAACATGAGTTCGTTGAGTGCTTCTGAGTCTGGATTGGCCTCTTTTGTTATCTGGTCCATGTAGATCACGAAGAGCAGAGGGGAGAGATTGCAGCCCTGTCTGACTCCGGATGTTACTGGAAACCAGTCCCATGTTCCACTGGTAGTTCGGACAGCGCTTCTGCTGTTGGCATAGATAGCCCTGATGTTGTCTAGCAGTTGTCCCTTAATGTCGTACTTCTCTAAGATCTTCCATAGCTTGTTTCTATTTACTCTATCAAAGACTTTTTCTTGATCCACAAATACGAGATCAAAGAAACGAAAATGCCTCTCATTTGAAACAAATCTACTTTTGATTGAGAAAGTCGAATGCATTATACACTAGCCTACTTGTTCGGTGCCTGGAATTATCAACACAAAAGCCTCATATGCCAAAATGAAAACTCGAATTCAACAAAATTTAAGGCCAGGCCTTCGTTGAATCCGAGTTCCACTGTACATGTTGCACCGACTGCCCTATGTCAAAGGAACTGTTTACCAATCTCTAGATGAAATCATGCGTTTACTCCCTTCAATCTGTCACTTACTTACAATAGAGTTGAGTGAAAATCCTCACTAAATATAAGCCCCATGGGCATTTACCAGCTTGTAAGTTATTTTGGGCTGATATCTTTATTTCTGTGTTTTTACATATTGATCAGGGCTTTAATATATAGATCTAGCATTTTTATAATCAGCGCATCTAGTCAAGCAGGGAGCGAAATTTGATGCTGAATTACAAAAATATGGGTTTTGTAAATTGTACTCTTCTACATTACACATTGTATTATGGTCACTTGCGACACACTACATGATCACTGTTGATCTATCCACATATCGCCTGAAACTTTGACTGCAACACATCACTATAGTGGGGTGGGGGGTGTTGTTTTTTAAAAAATAAAGTACCAGCATAAAAAATTCAGTTTCCTCTTCTCTTTAACTTTAAGCTTTGTAGTGTTGGAAAGTTAACAAGTCAGTGAGTAAAATAGTAGTGTGCAGTTGAACTTGCCTTGACAGCCACATATCCAAGACAACCTCCTATACAAACAACCACTTCCCACCGTATGTTTTTAAAAAATTTATAATATAATAATGGCATTACCCAGAGCGACGACCTGTCCAGCACAACTATGACTGCTATATTATTGTCATCCAACATCCCCAAAAAGCTGTCCAAGACGATGATGCAAATCTGGTATTGCCCAACACATTGCCATCAATTATTTTTGTATCGGCCCCTAATGCGGTGGGTGAGCTGTCGTAATCTTTTCACATACTGTAATTATTGTTAACCATGAACCGCTTGCTGATCAGCACGTTGTGTAGACACGTTTATTATTATCAGTCCATTTTTCTATTTGGTCATGGGTGGCTGTCTTGGATAATTTTAATGGTATGTCATTG